TGAATGGTACGCTAGTGGCCTGTAAATCTCGCCTATCTTTGGGGAGCTCCCTTACCCAACAAGGACAAAGAAGTTGCTAACGCCTGGTGCTCGATCTTAGCAAACACAATGTACATTTTATCTTATGAACCTTCGATGAATGTCTGTAACCTCAACATATGGCTATTTGAGAGCCAGTCAATATAATCAAACTTGGTGCTGTGTGCGGAAATTCCTTCGGAGACTACAATCGAAACATGGATGAAGAATGCATCTGATCAAGTGACCACAAATCCCTCTGGGCGGGGCTGCCAAATATTGCACGTACGGGAGCTCTGGCGCAGGCTTGGGCAGGCTGCGCAGGTCTAAGTGCGGGGCTCTCACTACGCCACGGAGGCACTGCAGGGGCGGTTCCACATGGTTTGCAGGGGCTGCTAGGTCAGTCGCCCCTTCGCAACCGTCGCTACAAATCAACGATTTGTAGGAGCGGTTGGCCAGCCGCCCTTACAAATCGGTTCGTACGGGCGGCTGAAAAATGAATTGCCCCTACAAATCTGTTTTTTTTAAATCACAAATATGGGTCAAAAAAATAGCAAAAAAAATTTAATCCCAGAAGGCCACACAAGGCAGCCGCAAACCCGCACCATCACAAGTCACGCGATTTTTCACGTGAAAAATGAGCGCTACGTGGCCACCGGGGATCCCTCTTGCCTCGCATGGTACTCCTCTAACCACTCCACCTTACACTCCTTTGGACTCCGAACTTTGACAAGCTGAACTTATCCGCAATCTGTCCCGATCTGTGCACAGGAACAGTCCCAAAACGACCGACACAGTGTTTTGTAATCTATAGTCAATCATATCGGTTAGCCTACGATACTCTAGGAAAGGTGAAGGTAGAACACAAGTGGAAGCACAATTGGGGTAAGTGAAAACTATAGGGTCACAACTAGAATGATAACGTTGAAAAGTGGCTATTGAGATGTGAAAACTAATAGCATGCATGCCATACTACTTTTCTTCTACAATATCCATTTGTTGTCACATTTTAAGTGACATTATAATTGCCGACCTAATAACATCAAGCAATTCTCATACTTGTGATAGATACTGGTCATCTCGTATTTGCCCGGCTTCGTTCAGTTGTGAAATAACCGTACCATTTGCAGCCAGTGTTTGTCTTTTATTATGGTCATGGCGGACACGAATAGAATATGCTTGCCCACACTGGAATAGTTGGAGGAGATCTCATAACTGACTGGTAATTCTGTACGCACTTGTGTACATTATTTCGAAAACAAGCTTGATCGAATAAAAAGAAACTTCGAAAATTGCTCAAGGGACGATCGACATATATCAAAAGGTAGCACGATTCATATTTACCTCAAAACCAAGGTGTCCACTTTAATTAATTAATTTATTGCGCGCGGCTAGTATACTAAACGCGGCGCTGCTACTAATCTCGGTACATATATATAAACTTGAAATTTCTGTGAGAAATCATACATACATATCACTGTTCAGTAGTAGTAGTAAAAATAACAAAACCTAAGCGAACATGGCTGCAGAAACATAAGCCACCACGAGTGGCAGGACGACGTTGATGACGCGTCCAAGCCCTGCCGCCGCCGGCGCTGCCCCCCAGTAGAGTGGACCATTGTACCCGTAGGTTCCGGGTCCAAAGCCACCTGGCCCGCCGAACCAGCCGTTTCCTCCGCCGCCGCAGCACTCGTCGCCGGGTCCGCCGAACCCAAGGCCCCCGTTGCTGCCGAATCCGAGGCTGGCCCCGCTGGGCAGCTCGTCAGGCGTGGGCACCGGCAGCGCTCCGGCCACCTGTGCAGCGGGCAGGTACGGCTCGCCGCCGCCATGAGGTGCCGGCAGGTCCGGCTCGACGCCGCCGTGCGGCGTCGGCAGCGGGAACTTCTCCGGAGCCGTGCCAGCGGTGGCGGTTGTTGCGGGTTCAGACGCCGCTGCTGGTGTCCCCGGTGGGACCGCGACCGCCGCTGGAGCGGATGACGACGATGACGCTGCCGGCAGCGTGCCGGTGGTCGTCGGGCCTGCAGGCATCACATTTTACACAGATTAGTCGCCGTCGATTCCGTCGAAGTTGCATGGATGGTAACACCGGCCGATCATCGGTGAAGCAGTGGTGAAGGCGAGTTGCAGAACCGCAGAAGCAGTCGAGTCAGCTGACGGTACTTGCCTGCGGCAGCTATGCTCGGCTGCGCCGCCGCCACCGCCGCCGCCGACGACGACGCGGGATGCACGGTGTTCTCAGCCATGGCCGCCGGCAGAAGCAGGCAGGACGACGTCCACAACGCCATTACGAGGAGGAGGAGGCTCGAGGAGCGGGCGAGCATGGCAGCCATTGTTAAGGTGGAAGCTAGGACGTCCAGAAGCTTGACTGACGAAGAAGTAGATTGACGACATCTTTGTACGTGATGGTTTATATGGTCGGAAAAAGAAACAATTCTGGCCGGGTAGACGAGAAAGCAAGGATAGACTGCGAGCATTACGTACGTACGTACCTTAGTAGCAGTAGCAGGGTGGGTAGGCAGCTGCATCTAATTCCTTGCTTTGATCAGCGAGTCAAATCGGCAAGTCCACTGGTTGGTGGGCCAACGACCAACCACTGTCTCCTTTTTCTCCAGATGTTGATGTTGGTACTGCTGGGCCTCCATGGCTAATAGTGGGCTTGGGCCGCCTAAAAACTATTGATGGGCTAGCTTGCTGAATTATTGATGGGCTAGCTGCGACGCATCAGTTTCGTTATGGGCCACACCAAGCTGTGCTGAGGGAAAAAAGCAGACTTGCATGTCGCAGCATGACCTAACGGAAAGACTAAATATGAACCAAAGCTGGATCGCTGGACATTAGAGAAGGATACCATTTGGACAAAAAAACAATTTTGTTTAACAAGTGCAATGCGGCTTCCAAGTGCAGAGTTTAATGCTATACCTAAAAGTGAGAAGGTACATCATATACGATATACCATGGCTCTCTATATAATGTGACCCAGCGCTCATTTAGATCAAACATTGGCCATGGCTGCCTTGAAGAGGGCAAGAGGCATAGGATTTTGGTAGTTCTAAGTTAAATTAGGATGGTGATTGACAAAAAGTATAACTGATTAATTTGGTCATTTGTAGGTAGATACGCCTAGGAGGTATCAGGCATCACCAAATATGAAGCTGCTGTAAAGTTTGTGCACCTGCTTGTGGAGGTCACGTAAGTTTATTTAAAGAGTACTCAAGAATAGCCCTTGGCGTGGCAATATAAGGCAAGACGCAATCCGAGATTGATTGATACAATTACCCTAATATACAATATGCTAATGCGTACAAAGAATGTTTAGATGATTGATTACATGATGGGAAGCTTCTGTTTGCTTTGTCCAGTGATTTACATAAGTGAGGAACATTCCCAACACTCCCCCTCAATCGCAAGGTGCTCATTTTGAGAATGTGTTTGAACTGTTCGAGTAGCATCACTATCCCAGATCTTGACATCATTGTCAGTTCAAAAACCCCCTTCACTGCCGTATTTTGAACCGATAGTGGCGTACCGGTAGTGATGGGGTTTACATCACTGCCGGTTCTTAGAAACCGACACTAATGTGAAACCGGCAGTGATATGGAAAGCCAAAAAATGCACTGAAAAAATAGGAAAAAATAATTTTAATACCGAGAGAGGTCCCACCGGGCAGCTACACGGTCGCGCGTCACAAGTCACGCGATTTTTCACGCAGAAAACGCGCGCTTCGTAGCCACTAGTGCTAGAACCTCTGACCTCCTGTTTCGTGGCTTCGGCCCTTAACCTCTCCACCTACAGGCTGTTTGTGTCCAACTGAGATTTTCGTCTGTTCATCTGATTTTGAAATGAATATTTGGGACTCTAAACGAATTTAAATGAAAAAGTTGCCAATTACAAAGTTTTATAACTTTTCGAGATCTACAACTCTCATTTTGATAGTTTCTTCATCCAAGGTCATTTATAAAATTTGAATTTTAAATTTTAGAAATTCAAACGTAGTTTTTCTTGACCAGATAATTTCAAATCAAAAGTTGTCAACTACAAAGTTTCATATCTTTCCAAGATCTACAACTTCTATGTTCACAAATGTTACATATCCCTCATATAGTTTATGAACTATAAGAGGGATATGTAACATTTGTCAACAATGTTACTACCATTTTATTGGATTAAGAAATGACCAAAATAAAAGTTATAGATCTGGATAAGTTCTACAACTTCTATGTTCATGACTTTTTCCCATTGAAATCATTTAGTGTTCCAAAATGACGTTTGAAGTTTCTATTTTGAAATTCAAAATTTAAATATATAAAACACAGTCACATAAAAAGATAAATAAAATAATAGCTATAACAAAACAATAAATTGATAGAGCTTGATTTTAGAATTTTTTAGAAAAAAAAATCATCAAATTTGAAGTTAATATGAGGGAGAAAGACTAGTTACAAGTTTTAGCTAGAGATTAAAAAGAGAAATCAGAATTCTTTAATAATTTCAATCAATATTTTGAAGTAGTAAATGATTTCAAATGAAAATTTGTCAACTATAAAGTTGCATAACTTTTCGAGATCTACAACTTTTGTTTTGGCGTTTCTCCATCTAAGGTCATTTAAAAAATTCAAATTTTAAATTTTAGAAATCAAACGTAATTTTCGTTAGATAGATGATTTTAAATAAAAATATTTGGACATCCAAATGATCTCAAATTAAAAAAGTTTGAAGTACATGTAGATCTGGTCAAGTACTACAACTTTGATATAAGGTTCGTCTTCATCAATCATCATATGAGAAACTTATGAAGTTTTCTTGCAGCATATCATTATCGGTTCAAGCCACGGACCGAAAGTGATAGTATCAGTGTCTGTTTTAGGCTAAAACCGACAGTGATGACCCAATATCACTGCCGGTTCTTGGCTAAAACCGACGATGATATGAACCGACAGTGAAGACCCGAATATCAGTGTCAGTTGGGCTATCAGTGTCCTATCACCGCCGATTTTAGCCAAAAACCGACACTGATGGGCTATCATTGTCGGTTTCTCAAAATCCGACAGTGATGAGGCCAGCAATGATGTCCAATTTTATAGTAGTGCATAATAGACAAGGGCTTTATTTGTAAACCCATCAGCAACTTGGTCATGTGTAGATATAAGTTTGATGTCCAAAGTTTGTTGGCTACTCTTTCACGAACAAAGTCATAGTGCACTTCAACTCGTCAACAATGAGACGTATGTGGTGACCTCATCCATCTCATGATATATCTATCTTGTTTGTCCTATGTGCACATATATAAGGGGCAGTTGTGCTTGTGCATGGATTCCTTTGTAGAAGTGAGTGTGCTTTCATATATGTAAACATCTATATTTATACTGTGTCGTGTAACTATTGCCCATAGTTGTGGGTCCTCTTGGTCAGCTGTCCTCCTCAAAATAATTCCTACCTACTGACAAATTTAATACACGGTGAGCTAAAACATGTTCTAGGGCCAGGTGCAACTATTGCCCAATAGTTGTGGGTCCTCTTGGTCAGCTGCATGCAATATTGCAATATGGCATCCATGAGAGCGACTTTAATTGGCGAAGGTACATGATATGTAATGGCATTGTATATATAATATGAAGGAGACATAAGTCTACCTAGATCAAAGCTTGGCCAAGGCTACCCTGGAAATGGGAAGAGGTTGTTGGAGTGCCGTGGTAGTATAGATAGAACGGTAAGTAGAACTCAGATAGTGTTCCTATAGGTATGGGAGGTATCAGGCATGGTTAAATCTGCGTCAGGAAGAGATATTGCCCCCGCGCTTGCCTACTGCTCTCAGGTTGCTCATATCCGCTAGCTTGTTGTGCACCCGTGCTGCGCACCGACCGTCCAAGTGATGGGTTGATCTGCATGTCTTGTAGCAGCCCGCTACAAATTGATGGGTTGTGATTGTGACACATTGGTGGGCTGGCTTGGAATTTCGTGATGGGGCACACCAAGCTATCTATGGGAGGAAGAAAATCTAAAAGTTGCAAAATGGACCTTTTAATTTATATATTTACTAGATATATGCCCGTGCATTGCAACAGGGCCATAAAATGTTATCCATGCCTACAGTGATGGATACGATCATTTTGAGAAAACAATAAATAATTAATAAATAATTTTGCATTAGAACCCTAAGCTATTTCCAAATCCACTCAGGCCTTCTCTTTTATTTCTCTTTAGTTATTTATCAACTGGAACTATATTATCTTTTTTCAATAGGTTCCATGTAGCAGAGAATCTCTGCAAATACATCAATAGAATTTAAGTAAAAAGGAAGAACACGATTCCTGAACTAATTGAACGGAATCCTAAACGAAAACTATAAAGCATACCAATCGATGGGCTGGAGCCAATCTATCGATGTTGGGGGATTCTGTGGTGGTGGTCGCATTCGTTTTCTTGTTTCTGTAATTTCTAGCGATGGGCGCGCTACGGGAATCAGTGGCTTTGCCGAGTGCTAGGGGCACTCGGCAAAGCCCAATTTGCACTCGGCAAAGGCTTTGCCGAGTGCTGCACTCGGCAAAGAACACTCGGCAAATAGCCCGTCGGCAAAGGCGTCTTTGTCGAGTGTCTTTTGTCGGGCACTTGGCAAAGCCTTTGCCGAATGCCAACACTCGGCAAAGTTGAAACCGAAAACAACCCGAAAAAATGGGAATTTTTACCAAAAAAAATGGAAACTTTTTTTTTATCGATGGAGGCCCCCACCGGCCAGCGCCTACCCATCTCCAACATTTTTCGTGTGAATTTCATGGCTACGCGGCCGACGCGATTCGAATCCGAGACCTCCCGCTGTGCACGTACCTCCTCTACCACTGCACCACACTCTCACTTGTGTCTGAATTCCGTTTAGTTCCCAATATATTATACTAAACCAAGTGTAAATTGCATGTTTGAGGCCATAAACGAATTCAAATAAAAAAGTTGTAAACTACAAAGTTTCATAACTTTTCGAGATCTACACTTCTAGTTTAGGAAGTTTTTTCATCCGAGGTCGTTTACAAAATTTAAATTTTGAAATTTAGAAATTCAAACGCAGTTTTGCATGACAAGATGTTTTCAAATAAAAAAGTTGTCAACTACAATGTTTCATAACTTTTCGAGATCTACAGAGTTTATTTTGATTGTTTTTTCATCCGAGGTCGTTTGAAAAGTTCGAATTTTAAAATTTTGAAATTCAAATGCAGTTTTGCATCATAAGATGTTTTCAAATAAAAAAGTTGCCAACTACAATGTTTCATAACTTTTCGATATCTACAGAGTTTATTTTGGTTGTTTTTTCATCCGAGGTCGTTTGAAAAGTTCGAATTTT